CGTTAAGCTTTCGCCACTAAATTCTGCCGGTGCCTGGAATTGCGCGATCGGATGGTGGAGGTCAGGGCTCACACAACATGCTCTGCTTAGCGTGAGCGCTGATCCCAGAAATCCATCCATTCAAAGGGTTCGGATCAAATTATAAAGAAGTGTGATGTTTTTTTTCTGGATTTTAGTTTCAAGCAGTTTAAGTGAGTAATGACTGTCGTGTGTATCTCTCCAGTGGCCAGACATGACGAGTGTTCTCGGAGTTAACAGAGAAGAGAGAGTGCGGCTATTACCAATTGATGCTGACTAATACAAGCCTAATTTGCTAATCCGGACCAAAATGGACATAAGAACGCTCCAAAGGCCGTGTTTGTGGCCGAATTGGGTCCTGGAAAGGCGGGGCGGTTTGGATCGGAACCCAAAAAATGAGACCATCCAGTGTCGTCTGTACGAATTGAAAGTAAAGTGACCGAAGAAAGAAACATCTTGCTTGGATTTAAAGTGACGCCATGATTCACAGGCTGCCCCGAGATCTTACACCATCGGCACGCTGCCATGTTCTAACGTATTTTGATGTGTTGTGTTGTATTCTGTTGTAAATGTGTTAAAACTCCTCGTATCGGAACTTACGCTTTTCTTTGTGTTCCAGGTGCTTGTGTCGTGTTGTAACTGTGGAATAAATTCGTTGTATCGGAACTTGCGGGTTTTCTCTGTGTTCCAGGTACTTGTGTTGTGTTGTAACTGTGAAATAAATTCGTTGTATCGTAACTTGTGTTTTTCCTTTGTGTTCCAGGTACTCTAACGTGAACAAATAAAAGCAAGCGAAATAATGCAGTGAATTGCCACTTTGCCATGGTGAGAGACTGACATATGATCGCTATAATGAGTTTAGAATAATCATGCCACGTTGCCGACTTTCGATATGGTAGAGGTGCTAATCATACAAAGTTATAGAGTAAGCATTGGTTATGTACGTTGTTCAGCGTGTTTGTGAGTGGCATTATTCGCATAGATAATACAGTAGTGTGATAACCTCATTCCTCAGAGAAAAGCCAGGAGAAAGGAGATATAAATGGGTTGATATATCGGCAACATGCTTTTATCGAAACAATAACAGAAACTATTGCTTCTGAAGCTGTGGCTATCTTGATCGCCGCATGGCAAATGGAATAGCAAGATTTGAATAGTGCTATCATGTCGTCATGGATGGCCTTGAGATAATTCCCGAAATGGTCTGCACATTTTCAAGGTGGTTTTTTCAGCGCAAAACCACATGCAGATGTAAAATATTTCCTTTAAGCAAATATTACACTAAAATCAAGGCATGTCAATCCAAGAATTGTTCCCAATTTACGCAGACACTGTCATCAAAAAATGTCAAAAATGGTCATAAATCGGACCACCCATGTCCGTATAACTTCCACACTGTTCGTATCCAAGGCCTACGCGAAACGTAGGCGGTAAGCAGTAAGGGTGAGATGACCCATGCCGAGCATTTGATTAGAAATCCCCCACCGGAACCACGAGGTACCACGGACATTTCACGAACTTCCGAACTTACATTCAGGAAAACCAGGATCCGAAGGTCATCCTTGCACATGTCAAATTTAATGTTAGTTTCAGTCGATCCTTTGGTCTTATTACGAACGGCCAGTGTCTTAAAAATGAAAGCGGTATGATGACACCTAGTGATGCACTCGTTGACATCACCAAGAACGACCATAAAGCGTTCACCCTTTTCGGGACAAGACCGGAGAGCACAGTGTTGTGCGTGCATCCGCAAGGGACACCGTTCCAGAATCACGACGATGGTCGAAGCGTTCCCTTGACTACCACGACAACACAGCACTGGCACGGCTACGCGTTCTCATATGACCAACCGGCCTGGGGGAGCGTCTCTCGGAATACCGACGCAATTTGGGCGGCCGCTAAACGCAGCGACCCGTCATGCCGGGATGACAGAGTCTGAAAGTACAGAGCGGAGACGGACATAAGCGCAGGCGGCGCTACAGCACCCGTCATCTGCGCTGCACCGGCCGATCGCAGGGGTTCGAATGATCAGCATCTGCCGGACGCGATGCAGGCGCTTCTATAACTCCCACTTCATTCACCAGTGAGTCGGAGAGTTATTTGGCGTTTATCTAGACCATGCGAGTGAAGGTACGTGCTCTAGTGCATCATCCAAGTGCGCGCTTGTCGACAACAGGGAGGTGAACCCTGAGAATGGAGAACAATTCCTGATCACGGTAGGACTTACTAAATGGATTTTTAAAATTTGGAATCAATGCCACCAAATAAGGATTTAGCACAATTCTGCCCCGGAGATGAACCGCTGCAATACGAACCTTTGCCCAAGACCAGCTACTGCGTTGGGAATTGCTGTCCGCTGCAGTCTACTACCTCGTGCAAACTTCTGCGCTCCAAAGCTTTGCGTTAAATGGTTTTCTGCTGGGTGATATTTTTCCCTCGACGGGCTCTCGTCCATACCAACTTTTGTTTTAGGCGAAGTTCTGTCACGCGAACTTGGCCCCAAGGCGACGTGATTCTACGCCAACTTTGACCTTGGATGAACCAACGGACCTTTCCCCATCCGAGCTTCTCACCTATGACTAATGCCCTGGGAATTTGGGGCCGAAGAGCTTTTTCTCCGGACAAAGATGCAAGGCAACAAGACGAAAGGTAACATGCGATCTGACTGATGGATAGCACTCCTCCAGATGTGCTATCCATCAGTCAGTGTGCTATCCTCCAGGTGTGCTATCCTCGAGCCGGATATTACGTCCTACGACGTGACACAAACTTCCTGGCGGTCAACAAAAGGAAGGGTGGAGGAGTCGCCATATACATGAAAAATAACTTACCATACACAGAGCCCAAAATTGAAGTCCCGGACGAGCTGGAAGTTTGCTGGAGCAGCATTCGACCTTTGCAACCCGACAGCATCATAATAGCTGGAGTTTACCTCCCTCCTGTTGCATCATTCTGTCGCCGGAAAATGTTATCTAACCACCTTCTGGAAACACTTGATCGTCTTGCATTCTCAAGGCCAAGAGCAAGAACTGTCTTGGTAGGAGACTTTAACAGAGCATTTGGTGCAGAATTGTTAGCGCGTCAACTGGGTCTCTTGCAAATAGTTACGGAACCGACAAGAGGTTCAGCCGTATTAGACAAGATACTGACTGATTTTGATTCTCCAAGCACGCCACTAGACCTTTCACCCATTGGCATGACACCACAAAACTATCGTATGGTTAGCTGCAAAACAAGTAAAACAATCTCAAGGCTATCGCTTTGTACGGCCTTTGAAAGGCTCATCCATCAGAAGTTTTGACAGATGGATTTGCTGCCAGGACTGGCAAGATACAATAGCAATAAATGATATAGGCCAAGCTGCCGCTCGACTAGAACCGCTACTTCAAAATGCTCATGAGGAGCACTTCCCTGAAGTTAAATACAAATGCAAGGCAAGTGAGCCGCAGTGGATAATAAAGCGCCTCAAAGAACTGATAAACAAACGCAATAGGGCGCCCAAACCGTCTTCAAATGGACAGACGGTAAAAACTTGGAGCCAATGTAGGCCTAGAGGTAACAGCTGCAAAAACGGCACGGTACAGGAAACGAATGCAAGGAGTTGCTTCTGACCGAAAGGGGTGTGCTATCTGCCTGCCAAGAACATTCCTGCTGAGATACAGCCGTGGCAAGTTGCTTTTCTGCTATCGCAGTTGAGAGAAAATGTGGCTGTCCCCACTGGACAACTTCCAGTGCGGCTAGTAAATCAATTTTCTGTGGAACTGGCCGTACCACTTACTCATATTTTCAACCGGTCATTGCAACATGACCGTCTTGGTAGGTCATGTTGGGTGAAGGGTGCCAGGGTCTTGCGTACCATTGGTGTGCAAGAGAGCAACAATCCCCCCTGTGCCAAAGAAAGCATTGCCCAAGTTGCCAGGAGATCTGAGACCGCTAAGCCTCACACCAACTTTTAGCAAGGTTTTGGAAAAAAATATTATTCCGCAAATTCTGACGGACATAAAACCGAGCATAGATAAGCGCCAATACAGAAATATGAAAGGTGACTCAACGTCACACTATTTAATTAGGTTGTTGCATGATTTGCTGACGGAGTTAGACGAAGCAGAGAAACGGCAAACAAGATGATATTGAACACTGACAAATGTCAAGTCATGCATTTTTTCACAGCCGAAAAAAACATTAGCACTACCGGACATCATGATTCAAGGAAAAAGCCTGCCAACTGCCATCAAAACTAAGCTTTTAGGTGGAACAATATCAAAGGACATTTAATGGCAAGCACATGTGGATGATATTGCAACCAAAGCATCGAAAGCTCTATATATGCTCTGCATAATGAAGAAGTACCATCCACCGCAGGAACAGCTTGTTCGTGTGTATGCTACTTACATCTGGCCATTACCAGAATATTGTGCACCGGTTTTTCGCGCGTGACTCACTGCAAGCAGGCGCAACACCTTGAGAAAGTGTAGAAGAGAGCCTTGAAAATTATATTTGGCCATCTGGAAAAGTACTCGCACATCTTGCAACGCTTGGGCATGGAAACCATCGCTGACAGAAGAGAAAAGCTATGCCTAAGGTTAGGAAAATAAATGCAAGTGCTTCCCATGCATAGATATCTGCTTCCAAAGCAGAGAGTGGAGATCTCCGGCAGAGATACCAGGAGCGCAAGCACACTCCAAACATTTTGCTGTGGTACGCGACTACGCAAATCAAGTATTCTCCATATAACCACTCTCATAAACACAGATATATTAACATCTAAGTAGTATCCCGCTTCATATGTATGTTGTGCACATGTGCTATATGAGTTGATACTCGAAGCCATGTTTTTCTCAATAAACCCTCTCTCTCTCTCTCTCTCTCCTCTCTCTCTCTCTCTCTCTCTCTCTCCTCTCTCTCTCTCTCTCTCTCTCTCTCTCTCTCTCTCTCCTCTCTCTCTCTCCTCTCTCTCTCTCTCTCTCCTCCT